ACGGTTTATGTGCACTAATGATTTCCAGTTCAATTTTATTAGCTGAGAAGTTTTTTTTTTTGTAAATTTTTAAATGTAATCTTCATATATTTTTTATGTTAAGTATTCCATCTCGATGTACAGACTCTTAATTTGGTTCTTAAACTTCAAAAACCCTTGATTTGATCTCATTATTTATCATTTTTACCCGATTTGATCTTTTTTTTTTTTTAAATCTCGTGACGTAAACCGTTACCTCACGATTACAAGATGACATGTTAAATATCATACACGTGAAAGACAATATAACAAAAAAAGTGATAATATAGAAAAAATAATAATATAATATAAAAAAATATTACTATGAAAAATAAAACTTTAAAAAAATTTCTTTTTTTTTTTCCTTTTTCCTTCTCTTTCCTTTTCTCTTTCCCCTTCCCCTTCCCCTTCTCTTTCCCCTTGGAACCTAACACGCTTGGCCGGGTTCGCAAGGAACCCAACATGCTTGGGTTCGCAAGGAACCCAAGTATCAGGTTCCATTAAACCCAGGTCTTGGGTTCCCAAGGGCAAAATATTAAAAAAAAATTACTTTTTTTTTTTTTTGGTTTTGTTGTTTGATAATGATGAAAATTTGACTAATGAAGATAAAGAATTGATTGATGAAGAAGGCAAGGCAAGAAAGAGGAAGGAGAAAGAAAGGGTGCCTGGTGGGTTCGATTGAACCTAGTACGCTTGGGTTTAAAAGAATCCAGGGGTAACAAATTTAAAAAAAAAATTCTATTTTTTTGTGGGTTTTGTTGTTTGATGATGATGATGATAAACCCAACAAAGGTAGAAATTGGTTGAGATATTAAGGTTTGCAGAAGTTGAAAAAAAGGGAAGAGGAAGGAGAAGAACGAAAAAAAAATTTTATTTTGGGTGGAATGAGTTGGAATGGCCATGTCATCTATTTGTGCCAACTTGTCAATTTTTGTATGACATGTAATGCTTCTTCTTTCTTCATCTGTCCATTAACATGAAAAATTAACGGAATGACCAAATCAGTGATTTTTTAAGTTTAGTAACCAAATTGAGGGTCCGTACAATAATTCAGAAACCAAAATGAGGTTTTAACCTTTTAATTTTGATTATTTCTGGTATTTTTTTTTCATATTCCTATATATAAATTTGACTTAAAAAAAAAAAGAATTTTGTCCAAAAAAATTTTATACAACACAAAAACTAAAATAAAAAATAAAATAAATTTATATTAAAAAATTTTAGAGAATTTTGGATAATTTGGTGGCTCATTTCAATAATTTTGAATATGGGTCAATAACCATATCGAATCAAAATTAATTTCAGTCATTTTGATTAGGGGTGTTCGCGATGTGGTTTGGTTCGAATTTTATTATTTTTTAAACCAATCCAATTTAATCGGTTAATAAAATTTTTAAACCAATCCAATCCACTATTATGTGGTAACCAAATCAATCCAATTTAAATCGGATTGGTGTGGTTCTGTCAGATTGATTGGTTTTTAATATTATTAAATATATAAAATAATGTAAAAATATTTTAACATCAAATAAAAAGTATAATTATAAAATAAATTAACATCCAAATCAG